GGAAAGTGATATAAAGAGTTGATCTGTCAGGGAGGAAGAGGGGAGGTGGAGGTGGTGTGGATCAACACTCTGGACTGGTAAGTAACTCCTGGCATCCCAGATGCTCTGCTTACTGAGCACAAGTCAATTTTGACAGATCCTAAATAAAACAGGAGCCTGAATCATGGACACTAGCGGAACTTGGATCTGAGGTATGCTGCTGATCTCAGACCAAAACACCATACTCCCATCCAATCATGTTGTTGTTGTTGGCAGCGCCAATTCATGTTGTTGTTGTCTGGCAGCTCAAACAAGCCCTTCCTGCCCAGAACTTTGGCAGCTCAAACAAGCCCTTCCTGCCCAGGACAGGGGGAACTCAACTGAAGCAAAAGAAATCATGAGGAGACAGCATAGGTAGCCTGTCTTTGATACTTTTTGAAGGACAATGAAGGACGCAAGTGGTCAAACTTATCAATTTGGAACCTAGACTTGCTGAAGTTAGACTTTGACAGAGACTAATTTCCTGGGAGTAAAAGGAACCATTCAGGGCAGATTCCACTTGGAAAAAGTTACTGTTCCAAGATCACACAGTGAATTTCATTTCACAGTGGGACATAAAACATGGGCTACCCAGTTCTAGTCCAACACTTTAACCTCTACCCTTAACAACACACTGCTGCAATGTGACAAGACATTTCTTTTCACACTGCTAGTTTCTACTCTACATGGTCTAATTCCTGAAGCATAGATACCCTAATATGAGGCAAAACATTATTGGTTATGAAGAACCATTTATCTCCCTTGCCATTTATCTTTGATTACAGTCTTTCAGCTATGTCCTTATACCAATGAGTTTGTCACTGCATACACTCAACCCAACCCTTCAAAATCCCATCGTAAAGAGGATTCGTCGTGGAGCGGGGTAATCATCAAGCGAGGCACCACTGTATTGTAAAATAACTACTTACATACCACATTCACAGTCCAGAAGAACTGTCTAAATAACCCACTCATTTAAGTTCTTCTAGTAGCAATATAAATAGATTCTTTGTTCTAGTTTTTGTTTTTGCTTTCTTTTCTTTGGCTTTGCTGCAGAACCTTTATAATATTGTTGCAACTTTAAAAAAGATTCTCTTTAAAAATAAAAGTCAGGAATACATAATAAGGTCAGCACTAATGTAAACTTTAGAACCAGAGCATGTCCTGAACTATACAAGCCTTATAACAATCATTTTGTCCAGAAATCAGGGCTAACTGAACTTGCTACTGATAACCTGCTATAATCTTATCATGCAAGGCTGCACAGAAATGCCCTTGATGCAGTTCTGGTTTTCTAAAGACTTAAAAGAAAACCTCTGCTTTGGGAAATTGGTGGATCAAAGACATTTCCGGGAGGAGCAAGTAGCTTCCCAACCTCAAACTTCAACCTCTGTTCAAGCTGAGAACATCTCTGAAGAACCAAACTAGAAACTGCTCAAATGCATGTCTGTGTTACTGTTGGAAGTCATTGGCTAGGATAGTCTCAGAAAGATGGGGATGAATTACTTTGGAAAGAAGTTGCCTTTATTCTTTCTCCTGCTTGAATTCCAAAGAATGTAACACTCATAACTGTGGAAGAGAAATTAGCAAATTAGATCATGGAATTACCCCCACTGAGCAATTCTCTTAGAACTGGAGACTCTTGAACATGCTCTCAGCTGGTGCAATAAGAACCAGATGTATGCAAAAAGGAATTCTCACTTCTGCTCCAGCAGTAACTCAAGATAACCTTTTGACACAAGGTGAAATAAATACTGAGTACAGTATACCACAACAACTGTACTGCCTCCAACAACTCTTTTTTTCAGTAAGTCCCTAATGTCTGCACTTTTTGCACAGTCTCTTAACTATGCCATCCTGCCACACACAGAACACTGCGCTGGCTCGTGACTTCATTCAATCTCTTGCCATAGAACAAAAGGGCAAAGTATATTTATGTCCCCTTGTGCAGAACTATTTCAAGATTCAGAGAACTAAACAGGAAAACAACAGACGTGAGAAGGGAAGTGGCCCTATTGAGGCACCAAAGCAGTGAGTGTAACAAGATCATGTCACTCATTAAGTGAATAACAGAGGCAGGACGAAAATTAGCTGAACCCATTGGTTATCTCAAAGGAAAATTAACAACTATCCTATCTTTAAGAGCTCCATAAAAGTCTAAAATTACTTTTAAGCTTCTAAGGGTCACTGCATCAAGATGACAGCAAACAAGAGCGATTACTCACTACCATTCACAAAGTGACACCACAAAAGGGAAAATCCCAGAAGCTGACTCCTTTTTTCCATCAGTAAACCTCACCCAAACACAAAGCAATTGTCAGGGCTACCTTTCAACTAATGTGAATGGCAGTGACCACAAGAGGGTATCTTGTAGACCAGGGGTGTTGCTGCCATTGATGCCCTTTGCTAGTTAAAGCTTGGCATCCTTTTTCCTACTGCCAACGTGGGCACAATATTGTACAGCAAGGCAATTTCCTGACTTTTTGAATCATGGAAAAAGAATCACAGTATCCCAAATTCATAAAGCAGAGGTTTTTTAAAGAACTGAATTTCCTAGCTTTTTAAAATGTGAGTTTAAATATACACATACTACTCACAAATTCAATCAGAAATTTCCCTCAGAGAATTACCCAGTCTCAGAGGATTTTAGAAAGTAAGCATATGATCTGAACTATAATTACTCATTACCATTCACAAAGTGATACCACACAAGGGAAAATCCCAGAAGCTGACTCCTTTTTTCCATCAGTAAACCTCACCCAAACACAAAGCAATTGTCAGGGCTACCTTTCAACTAATGTGAATGGCAGTGACCACAAGAGGGTATCTTGTAGACCAGGGGTGTCCAACCTTTCACCTTCCCTGGGCCACATTAGAAGATGAAATTTTGGTTTGGGCCGCACATAAATTTGGTTTGGGCCACATGGGGGGCGCAGCCCTAGCCTTCCTCTGCAGCCCACTCCAAGTGTGCTTACCAGCAGCTGCGATCTCAGACAGCAGAGGCTGCCAGCTTTGACTCCGGCAGCATTATGGGGCCAGGAGGGGGTCCACCTATTGACGGGGACGGCGTGATGTAGTCACACAGCCCCCCTCTCCCCTCCCCTCCCGCTCTTTCCTTCCTTCCCTCTCTCCCCCCCACTGTTGTGACGTGCCCCAGCCGTATTCTAGCCGCAAGTGCCGGCGGTGTAACTTGAAACTTTGGAATTTCTTTAAAAATAAAAAATTGCACTGGGCCGCATTATGAGCCGACCTGGGCCGCATGCGGCCCTCGGGCCGCAGGTTGGACAAGCCTGTTGTAGACCATCTTGACTGCTGCCATTGATGCCCTTTGCTAGTTAAAGCTTGGCATCCTTTTTCCTACTGCCAACGTGGGCACAATATTGTACAGCAAGGCAATTTCCTGACTTTTTGAATCATGGAAAAAGAATCACAGTATCCCAAATTCATAAAGCAGAGGTTTTTTAAAGAACTGAATTTCCTAGCTTTTTAAAATGTGAGTTTAAATATACACATACTACTCACAAATTCAATCAGAAATTTCCCTCAGAGAATTACCCAGTCTCAGAGGATTTTAGAAAGTAAGCATATGATCTGAACTATGGTTACTTGGAGAAGAGAGAGCAGCTTGGACTCATTTGAAATATGGTGTTGGTACAAATACTAAAGACAGACAGAAAAGCAGAAAAAAATGGATGCTTAATCAAGTCAAGCCTGAACTCTTATTCACACAAAAATGAGTAAGCTGACCCTATCCTACTATGCACATATAATGGAAATACTGAAGTGACCAGAATACACTATATTGCTGGGGAAAGTGAGGTGGACCAGTAGAAAAAGAGGAAGACCTAGTATGGGTTGATTAAATAAAGGAACCCATAGCTGTTAGTCTGCAAGATCTGAGTGGAACTTAATGGAATGACAGTAATGCTAGGAAGGGATAGCAGCAGCAAGAGACAACAAATGTTAGATGCTGTTGGATTGCAAGATAGAACAGTGCGCTTAATGACAGAACATTCTGGAAGTCAATAACTCATAAAAAGTGAAAAAGGTGGAGGGAAATGGGCTTTTTATCTTCCTTCTGTCTCCCTAAACTTGGCCCTAAAATTCTCCCCTCACAATGCAGCTGTCCTTGGTTGCTGTCTCCTTACTTGTGAGTAAACTGGACAGAATTTGCTTTGAGATCATCCCCAGCCACAAAACACACAAAAAATAATTTCACAGCTTAAATGAGTGAGCGGCTGAATATTGTTCTCTATTTTTAAAAATATCTTTCAAAATATTTTTAAAAATATTTTTTTCAGTCACTGAATGGGGTTCTGAATGGCAGAGTCAAAAGTTCAGTCCATTTAGAATGCTGACAATTTATATAAAAGAGACCACACAAACTTATAGTTTTTCTGGCTTTAAAAGCGTTAATTTCAAAATATGTATTAAAGCCATGAATGGCTGGATTCCTTCCAAATTTAAAAAAAGCTGCTGGGACTGAATGTTTTCTTTCAAGCTATACAAATGTGGTCTTTTCAATGTAGTTAATGTGTTTTAAATCAACTAGCTCAAGGTTGTTTGCCTTAGCATGGGGGTAAAACAATGTTAAGTTTTTAAAAATGCTAACTCAATAACCCTTTGCCCAAATGTCCCCAAATTTGGCACAGAGCAAGAAGAAGCTTTCTGCTACAGCTGTGCCAATTTTGTTTCTTATCTGAGGTAAAGTTTCACGGTCATCAGTTTTTGTTTGGGCACCCTTATTTCTTGAGTTGACTTGCAGAATGCTGAATCCTGCTGTCAGCACTACTCAATGCCTCTGGCAGCTTTACTAACACCTCCCTCCCCACTTTTCTCTTTGGAGGCTTCAACAATCAACAATGAGAATGACTCCAGAGAAGGCCAAGGTTAGACAAGTCTGGAGAATAAATCACCTGCTTCACTAAAGTACCGGTAACAACACAAACCTTGACATATCTACTGATTTCAGTTGCACTTACCCTTTTATGTGCACATACAAAAACTGCTCAACACTGAAAAGAAACAGAAACAGTATTACCATAAATCTGTGAGCAATTCACTTTGTTTCAGCATCTATGGGTTAATGAATAACTGCACAACGCTACCTGAATCATAAATAACACCAGCACTTTGTATCAGGCATATAATAGAATTTCCAGCAAAACTAGGCTGAAGCTATTCAGAATGTGGATGACTGATTTCCACAAATAGATAGGGAAAATGTTTTGCAAAGCTTGGTAGCAGTTCCATGGTCCTTTTTCTCCTTTATTAGACCACCCTAATCAAACCTTACTCTGTTAGTTTCCATTAGCTATTTTCTCAAACTATGTATGCCTACACCAAAGGTAACAAGCAAAATAGACCTAAAGTTAAAGAACCCTCCATATCCCATCAGAAAGGCCTGTGGGGTTTTTATACCAGCAGATCTTACTCACTTGCTAACAATCTGTTTTCACATGGCAATGTCACCAGAAGAAACAAATCAACAGCTCTTTGCCATTGTATCTTTGGCCTTTAAGCTTTGTGTCTCATAAAACATAGAAAGAAAAACAAACTATAACCACACTCATGGGGCAAGATTTATTTCTAAATACTCAAATATGTATGACGTTTTAAAAAAATACTTTTATTAGTCTTCAATAATATAACAAAAAACAAACATATCCATCTACAATTAATAAGGTAACAATAAAAAGAAATTGAAAGCACAATTATAACACACATTGTGCTCCCCTCCTTCCTCAAACCAAGGTTTCCTCTAAGGCAGTGGTCCCCAAACTTGGGCCTCCAGATGTTCTTGGACTACAACTCCCAGAAGCCTTCACCACCACCTCTGCAGGCCAGGATTTCTGGGAGTTGAAGTCCAAGAACATCTGCAGGCCCAACGTTGGGGACCACCGCTCTAAGGTATACACCTGCATGCACGACTCCACCTCCCTCCATGCAGCAATCGTTTTCAGTTCCTTTGGGCTGTGGGAGTGAGGAGTTGTGCGTGTGTACGGGGGTGAAGTCGCACAAGAGAAAGGCAGAGCCCCTCCAGGAGGGCTGAAAATTAGAGGGTACATTGCTCAGGACTATTTGTCTTAGTTACTAATTTATTTATATTATTATTTAGTCATTTATTTTACATAGTGTTGCCCCATTCCTCTCCAAAAATACATTGATTCTTACCCCTTCTCAAACATGCATACCAAAAACGAATTCCATATTTCTTTAATAATCATTAATATTTGATACAGTATTCCTTTTCTTATCTTAATTTTGCAAGTTAATTTATCATTAATAGCCATGTTCCACATTCCTGTATACCATTCTTCTATACTGTATTAAGCTACTATTTTTCCAATTCTTTGTGAAAATTAACCTTGTCACAGTTACTATAATAACTATTCATTTTTTCTTCCTGTTTTAATTAACAACTCTGTTCAATAGGGCTACCATTGGAGACATTTGTACATCCTTATCTCAAATTTCAGTTATTTCATTAAAGAGGTACACCTTTTACACTTCATCATGTCTTCCAAGGACTTAAATTTACTTTCTCAACATATCATCAACTTGGAAAAAAACATATACAGTGGTGCCTCGCTTAACGAGTGCACCGTATAGCGATGTTTCCGTAATTTCAGTTATTTCATTAAAGAGGTACACCTTTTACACTTCATCATGTCTTCCAAGGACTTAAATTTACTTTCTCAACATACCATCAACTTGGAAAAAACCATATACCATGGAAAAAAGCAACTCTCTTCTCTACCTGGTACGTCTTTAGTGCTGCATTAATGATATATTTGTTTCCCTGAAGATGCACACTATCTCTAGACACTAAGAGAAGAGCTGTCCACTTGTTATAGACCATCCTTAAAAATAACCCCTTCCTTACCCTCCATTTCTAGATGCTCTCGTAGGCTCACAACTTCTGTAATCTACCATGCACCAAGGTTGCACATTCTTTCACTTTTAAATCCTACATTATTAGGAAAGGTTCCAACTCCTTGCTCACTTTTTTAATTGTATACTCAATGCTCTTGGATACAGCAGAGTCAGAAGCCCACTGCTCATTCTCTATCTTCTTTAAAGCCACAGGGCACCTTTTCCTGTTCCACCCACTGTCTTTTCTCAGCTCTGCCACATACAGCACCCTAGTGCCCTGCTTTCTGCCACCACAAACATACAAACACCCTGTTCCTTTTGCAGTCTCCATCATATCCACATCCTTCCTACTATACCACACAAAGAACTAGAAAACTTTATCCACAGAGAGCTTCCCCATCTCTCACAACTGATGATCCCTCTATAGGGGAAAAAGGGAAGAGAATGTCAAAATCCAAGTATGCTTGCCAGTTATGAAACAAAAGGTATCAATGGGCATCCAACACTTAACAACAAGCCTGGTTTGCAGAAGACTTTGACTTGACATAAGATAACAGTGTACTGTGAAGCCCAGAATAAGTCCAATTAAACCTATACCATGTTTCCCCCAAAATAAGACAGTGTCTTTTATTAATTTTTGCTCCAAAAACACATTACAGCTTATTTTCAGGGGATGTTCTATTTTTTTCATGTACATTTATTCAAATACTGTACAGTCATGCCATCTTCTGGTTGCTGCACAATGGTGGAGGGCGGGGCTTCACTTAACTGGGGCTTATTATAGGGACAGGGCTTATAGTATGAGCATCCTGAAAAATCATACTAGGGCTTATTTTCAGGTTAGGTCTTATTTTTGGGAAAACAGGGTATTAACAGAATTGTTCAAATGTATATTCTCTACTACACTGCCAAATCAGCGTACCCCAAGTGAAACTGTAATACAGCCTATCCTTATTACCAAAAATTTGTTCCATATGTGGCAGTAAGTACAAAACAGAGTATAAGCATCCTGAAAAATCACACCAGGGCTTATTTTCAGGTTAGGTCTTATTTTTGGGAAAACAGGGTATTAACAGAATTGTTCAAATGTATATTCTCTACTACACTGCCAAATCAGCGTACCCCAAGTGAAACTGTAATACAGCCTATCCTTATTACCAAAAATTTGTTCCATATGTGGCAGTAAGTACAAAACAGAAATGAACTGCTTTACAAAGTTATGCTGATCTCCTAATACTCTTAGGGTGTAATCCTAAATGCATTTACTAGGAACTAAACCTAAGTAAACAGAATAACAATGCCAGCTATTATTATTTACTACTCTGTTCATTTTTACTCAGTACGCCTCCAAGGAGCTCAGGATACAATGCCCCCTCCCCCACCAATTTATACAACTTTCATTAGAAGTAGGTTAAAAGTGCTTGATAGCTCAGCGCTGTAGATATCTGGCTATGGAGCCATAGGTTGGGAATTCAATTTCCTCATTGTACATCCTTGACAAGGGCTGGACTTGATGATGTAGGGTCCACTCCAGATCTGCAGTTCTAAGACTATTATTCTATGATTATTAGGACATGGGACAGCAACTAGTCCAACAGGTACTTCCAAGCTGAGTTGGAAACTCAAACCCAGCTCTTCAAACCCCTTCTCTGGAGTTCTAATTGCTACATGAAATTCTTAATATGGAATTCATTTTCCCTCTCTCACTCTCGCACCCACACCTCTACTGTCTGGTAGCAGTGTTTCACCTTTTAGATTGTCTCCACTGAAAAGTCAACTTGGAATCACCCAGGAAGACAATTTAAGAAAAAGAATACTTTAACACAAAAACTGCTACTACTGCAGTTTATAATCATAACTGTGTGCTATCAAGACAATCCTGGTTTATGGCCTCCCTCTGCAGGGTTTTCTAAGTATAAAATATTCAGGAATGATATACAGTTATGTTCCCTTCTCCTGGGGCCCGTCGGGACTGCGTAACCAAGGCCAAAATAGCCAGCTCTCTTCCCAAGAATCGAACTCCCAACTCTGACTCCACAGCTAAAATCTAACTCACTGAGTTTAGGGATGCTTTAAGGAACTGAATATATATTTTTAACTTATGCCCTATAACCATGCAATCTGTGTCCAAAACCCATTTTAAGTCAAAGCAATAAAGAGAATTGGATTGAACTCACATTTAGCGATAACTAGAGTAGTGCCAATGAACTCAATAGCATTTTAGTTGTGACAAAACCCATTTTAATTCAAAGCAACAAAGAGAATTGGATTGAACTCAAATTTAAACTCAAATTTAGGGATAATTAGAGACAATGAACTCAATATCATTTTAGTTGTGACTGGCTCCCCTACTCCTTTCGAAGGACCTGTCCTAAATGTGACGGGATCCAGAACAAACTCCAGTGTTTCCCCCTTCTAAGAAAAGCTGTTCTTTACCTTTTTGTTATTAAGTTTCCGATTAAATGCAAAGGCTACCAAAGTACTGAAATTATGCCGTCAGCGTCAACAGGTCATGGTGGCACTTAGAAAAACGGAAAAGTTGACCCAATTTATCTAAAGAAGAATGTTTTTTTAAAAAACAACAACAACCAAACTTGCTAACGAATGAAGTTCTAAATTAAAAGCATATGAGCAGAACAAGTAGAAAAGAGGCAAATAATAATATTAATAAAGCAGATTTCCCCCCCCCCAGCCACCCCACCCATCCCAGGATGGAAAGGCCCAGCACACACACAACCCGGCCTTCCTCTTTCGGATCTCTTGGGGGAGCCACCCATACAGGGCCCTCCTCGCAGCCTTTCTTCCTGCCCCAGAGCTTCCTCCACGCCACTACCCTGCCCCACCCAAAGGAGCGCCCTCTCTCCATCTTAGACTACAACTCCTATCATCCCTACGATGCATGGTGGGGATGATGGGGCTTGCTGATCAGCACATTTAGTGGGAGAGGGGGGTTTTTTTGGGAAGAATATCCACGACAGAGATTTGCGCCCCCCCCCCATTAAACAACCGCTTAAGCGGCACCGGAAGACAGCAGGGCCCCTCGTCTCCTGGCCCTTCGGAACGAGCCTTACCCGCCTGCGTCCCCTTTTCTCCGGGCCTCAACGCATCAGGACCAACACGGGCCTTCCCAACCGTCCGCCATTGCAGGCAGCTTTCCCTTCAGCCCAGCCTGACCAAACCTAACCCCACCCTCCCGGCCTCCTCCGCCTCCTCCTCATCTACGGCCACCGGTCCGCGTCTCCATTGGTTCCACGGCAACTTCCCGCCTTCGCTTCATTGGCTCCGCTTCCCTGTCTGTCAAGCGTTCCCGTATGCGATTTGCGGACGCGCCTAGCTTCCTTTTCCCCCCTCCCCTCCCGCACCCTTAAACGACCACACCCAAGTGAGCCCTTTTTTTAAAACAGCGTAAACAACGTGGGATGTACCATAAGCTGAGGGGGGAGTCAGAAGTTTAAGGAAGCTTGTTAATCGGGGATGATAGGAGAATTAGAAAAGAACCCGAAGTCGAGCACTTGTCCTTTTAAAAATAAAATAAAAGAAAGAAACCAAGGATGGTTCATATTTCACTTCGATTTCAATAGAAGAGGTCGGCTTGGCATGGTAGTTTCGCCCGCGCTCTTGTTGTTTCACCCAGGGAGGCTAGTCAGCTCTATGGTCCTAACGAAAGGCTCCCCCTGGCGTTCGGAGGTAGGAACGGAGAAAGGTTTGGACGCTCTTGAAGTGGGTGGTGAGAATTGCAAGGGGAACGAGGAAAGAGAAGCGGGGTTTGGCGCTCGTTCACACGTGATCCGCCAGCTGAGAGCAGCTGTCACTGTGGCTACATGCAAAAGCAAGCTGGTAGCCATCGCCTGTGGATGATGATCCGTTTAATATATGCATTTCCATATTCTTCTTCTCTCCTTCCATAATTAAACATTATTAAACCTCTACAAGTGTGCAGATTTGTCTTTCTGGAATACCTTTTTGGGGGAATTCTGGGAGCTGTAGCTGAAGGACAATAATCTGCACGCTCTTGTGTCTCTCCCTGTTATACTAGATTTTTTTTCCCCCCTTCGTTTCAGAAAGAAGTGCATCTTTTGCCATCATACCTGCTCATAACATCGGTGTGTGATGCTTCTGGCTTGTTTCAAGGATGTTTGTATACTGTGGGGGAGGAATCTGGAGATTTTTCCGTCTGATCCTTTGAAAGTTCAGCACAGAAAAGAAAAAAAAGTGTGTGTGTGTTTGCATCCACCACCACCCCCATCTTTATCTTTTTATTTCCCCATTTCTTGAACTCTAAAAGTACAAGGTGTGGTATAATGGATTGAATAATGGACTCACTAAAGGACATGTCTACACTGGCCTTTTTGGAACAGGCTGATGGGTCAAAGCAGGGCCACATGAAGTCACAGGGATGAGCCAGATCGACCTCAAGCACCACCCTGGCTGCTTCCCTTGTCAATTGAACACTTCCCCTGCTCCTCTGCGGAGGGGCAGGGGAAGTGAAATTACTATTTTTCTATAGAGACTACCTAGCACTGATGCACTGAATCAGTCAGATTATTATTATTTGCCTTTAGGGTAGTGCCAATCTAGAAATGGCCCACAGCCACAGGTTTTGACCTGCACGTCACACAAAGGCAAGGGAAAACATTTTAAATGTTGAAGTGTCCAAGTTACCAATATCCTGAAGGGGCTCACTTATTAAACTACTCCATGTTAACAGAAATCGACAACCGGAAGAAGCCTTAGCAGCTTTGACATCGGCAAGTCTCAATTTTAGTCTCTTCCCAGAGATTGCATGTGCTAGGAACAGACTAAAACTAGAGCATAACAGCTCACACCAAAAATGTAGGAGGTCCTGGACAGGGAGTCGGAAAAGTGTGGGTTGGGTGCTCTGGGAGCTAATTAATCCACTTTAGCAATTACGCGCTGTAATTGCTGAAAAAAAGAGCAAACTAGAGATGAGCATGTACCTCAGTTTGGAGATCCGACCCAATACGTCACCACACTTGCACAGGGGATGTGTGGGGCACTTGCACCTTCCACCCTCTCGCCTCTCCTGTACACTCGTCCATTCTTCAGGCCATGTGCGCTTCCCCCCCCAACCTCCCCAACGTGACTATCCATTCGCCTTTTGCAGCGTCTCTTCTGTCCTCTGCCTCCTCTGTCAGCCACCCACTCAGACAAGGAGGCAGGGCACGGATTCCTGCCCCACTGCTGTTGTGTGGGCAGGGGAGGGTGGAGGGTGCCAGGCTTGCACAACACCTGTGGGGGGTGTGGCCACAAATTGGGTCAGCCCTCCAAACTGAGGTTCGTGCCCATCTCTTGAGCAATCCGCTCTCACAATGCAGCGAGAGAAATGCCTATTTGAGGGAGCCCTCAGACTCAGGAGAGCTGGATTCGACTTCTCAGCTCTGCCATGAAAACCTATTGGGGTGTAAAACCACTCCCCTTATCGTGAAACCCTATTACGTCAGTTTTAATTTGACAGCACATAACAACAAACACAACCAGCCCCTTCTGAAAGTATTTTATTTTGTTATTTGTAACCTGAGCTGTCGTGGGTCAGGTCTGCGCTTCAAGGCCTGACGGTCCCCATCTGTGCCCCCAAGCCCTGCAGCGCTCACCCAAAAGGCCTTTAGTGCAAATTGTGGGAAAGATGGAGGAAAAGAACGTGTGGCTTGTTCAAGGAAACAATCTGGATAGAGAGAGTGGAAATCTGAGTCTTAAAGCAGCATATAATCCAGCCCAGGATAAGGAAAAAGGAAAACGAGAGAGCAGTGGTGCAGTTACAATTGCATTTCCTTACTGTCTCTCTCACATCGTTTGCTCTTCAGTTCCATTCCTTTTCATTTCCTGAACTATCTATCAATAGATGCGACTGAGGTATTACGAAAACTGATGCACCCATTTTAATTTTAAAAATCTGGTACAGTATCCTTCAAACAAACAGACCTCTCTGGAAACAGGTTGAGATGCTGCCAGTGTAATTATTTAAGCTAGTATCCATTCCAAATTAGTATCCATTCTAGTTTTTCCCTTTCTTACTCCTCCATTTTACTGTCTTTTCTAGAAATACAAGATTATTTTACAGCAAGTATTACACCCTTCAGTCAGTATCAATCCTTAGGGTACTTCAGGGTTACAGTATTTCATTTTTAATGGAGTTTTGAGAGCCAATGTGGTATAGTGGATAGAATTCAGAAAACCTGGACTGAAATTTCTGCGGAGCCATGAAACTGACAGGAGAAGGAGGGGTGGAGATATGTGCAATGGGATGACAGGAAATGGAAGAACTTCTCCCCCTCGGGAGGGGTGACACTGGTAAAATCACCCCTTAAATACTGTATAATAATACAGTAATCTTAGAGCTGCCGAACTGGAAGGGGTCCTATCTTACCTTGAAAACTCTATTAAGGTCACTGTAAATTAGGGTGTGGCTACACTGTATTTGATCAGCAGCCTGTATTAAGTTTGAAATAGCATTCAATGCTCACAAAAGGATTGCAGGTTGATCCAGGAGTTCACTGTTCATACTGGATGTGATGGAATTTGTATTCCAGCCCACAGCCCCTCCCTTCTTTCTTTCCTTCCTTCCTCTGGTCCCACCTCTGCCGATCTGACAGGAACTAATAATAACTATGCCCTAGTGATGAGGTGATATAGCATTAATCTCATATATGTAAGAAATTGAAATAATTATTTTTAAATTTGGAGGATGATCAAGGGAGAAGAAAGAATGTGTGTTGGGGGGTTCCCCTGGTCCGGAACATCCCGCCCCAACTGCCTATGTCATTGAAACACTACCTACAGACATATACAGTACCCTGTTTTTACAAGAATGCATCACAACTAACGCATGGGGGAAAGCCTGTTCAAATCGTTCTGGCTTGAAAAATTAAGCAGGGGGAGCCACGGGGGGGGGCAAAGGGGCTTGGCTGATTTGAATCAATCTTTGCATCATTCCCCCATGTTATAAGAACAGCAAACCCCATGGCATTTGACCATGTAGTCATAGCCTTAGATGCAACATGACAGCCCATAAGAACAACAAATGCATTTACTGCAAGGTGTTGTTTTTTTTTTGCAGTTCAAAAAAGACCAAATGCCAATGCAAATGTATAGGGAGGTATGGGTAGAACGAGGCCCCCATGCAGCAATGATCGGGGAACAAAATGTGTGTTCTGCAAACAAACGCATACCAATACACTCCCCACAAAGTATCAGTGGAGGAGATATGTGCAATGGGGTGACAGGAAATGGAAGAACTTCTCCCCCTCCCTCAGTCGCACCAGTACTGCTCAATTTCATGATTACCAGCAACTTTCTGAACCTTTTTTTTCTGAAAGAGAATGAAACAATTCCACTTTACAACAACAGAGAATAAACAACCCTTGTCAGAATTCTTAGCAAAGCAGGGCTGGCCCGGCACTCACTTCTGCTTCTAAATGAATCTGCCAAAGTTTGCAGCCGAGAGAGTGGGAGTGTCTTTACGAAGATTAAGTATGTGAAGCTCACCAAGAATTTGTTGAAATAGCAAGATATAGGGAGATGAAGAGCTGGAATCCAGGTGCTTAGGAGGCAAACCACAGCTGTAGATGCTTGAATCATCTTTGGAATAGATTAAACAGCCACATGTTATATTCTGTACCTTTACAGTCTAATCATCTGCTACTCACAACCCTATTCTGCACACTTCAGCAGTATGGTTGCTTTTTAAGTACTGTACTTAACTGACTGATCCCTGTATCATGTTCGTCTGATTTCTGTACCCAAGACTGGAATTCCTGATTGATGATCCTAAATACCCTTTTAACTTCACAATATGGAAGAGGTGGACCACAGAAAAGTTTGCTTTGGGGACTAAACGTCCAGAAACAATCCACAATTGTAGCCAAACAACAACAACAACGAAACTTCTCCCAGTTATGAGAACATAATGATTGCCTACTCTAATTTGTATTAAAATAAGCACTGTAATGTTGTATCTGAAATAACCAGAGTTTGGAGCATTAGGTCAGATGATGATGATGATGCTATTAACTGTTACAGATTAATCAATTACTGCTATCATTTAAACCTGAATATGTTTAATTTATTACATTAGCATTATTACATAAGTCATCAATTAAGTCATTCATTTTAAAATAAACAATACGAGTTTACTGAGCGTTATGCAGGTTTTCATCACTGACCCCCCAGCAGCACATTTTTTATTAGCTCCATTTAAAATTCTCTTTT